ATATATATAGTTTCTAAGTTTGATCCTAGATTAGATAAAAATCTTGGCACTAACTTGACACCATGTGAGGACTGGGTAATCACCAAAGTAATAGCTCATAGCGACTGTGTTCTAATTTTCTGCTATGATGGTAGACTGGTAGTACCGAGTGTGGTATCAGGAAACAGTAAAGTCTTCATACATGTGTTGGAGTTTACACATGTGTTCAGTATACTAGGGCTGGTGGAGGGTGTAATCTAACTGTCAGACACAGACTCATCACAATACCAATTCAAACTCTTGCTATGCAAAATGTACATTGGTCTCAGTTTCCAAACATTGTCACAGCTAGCGCAACATGTAACAGCCAAAATGAATCGGTATGACTCTGGCTTGCTCACAGTACCTTGGCGGTACTGGGCTATATGCTTATTTGCCGAGACTAGATTTGACAGTTTTAGTGGTTTAACTAGTTTGTTTTTGGTTTTCCATGTCTAACTGAATAGATAGTAGTTGTAATATGGTTATTTATTTTGTTAACCTTAATAAGTTTACAGTCTACATTACAGCAAGCTAACGTAATCTAGTAACAAAGCCTGAATACTACAATTTAAAGGAAAATATTATAGAAATAAAGAATTCTCTTTAAAATATATATGCTACGTTTTTAAGGAGGTTAAAGATTTTCCAGTGGGCAATTATAAGGCTGTTACTGTTAGTAACCTCATAACTTCATAAAAGGTTAGTCTTCAAAGTCCAAGGGGCTATATCAAAGACTGAGAGAGAAAAATTTGATCAAAAAGACAACTGGTGATGTATATACAGACGTATATTGAATTTGGTCGTGCAACCTGGACAGGTTACTGTTAGGTCATTCTACTCTTCTGTGTGCTGTGGAGTCACGCGAGGACAGTCCCATTGGAATCAAGTCAAATAGTAATACTACACTAGGCCTACACTGTACACACAAGCGACACAGCCAGCCAAAGGATATAAGAGCTGTCCACATTTTCACATTTCCACATTGCAAAAATGAATTGGGGGCAGCTCTTATACCCTTGAACCACACAGCCCACAGTACAGTCACTGTACTGTGTACACTGCCAGGGAAAAATAACGAGATGTTGGGGTAGGCGCCTAGTCACCGTTACTACTACTACTACTACTACTACTACTAGTACTACTATTAGTACACGTAGTACAGATATGGATAAATATAAAATGTTGTGTCACCATGTCAAATTGTAATACGACAAAATAAATAAATAATATGCTACACATATATATAGTGTAGGCAATGGTTTCTCATTGATGTGCAGGGTATTGAAAGTATATATACCTATAAATATATGACATATTCATGCCTGCATGTATATATATACAAAATATAGAATATATGTGAGGTGCATATATAGGGGTTATAGCTTTCCTACTGGCAGCATTTTGAACAATTTTAAAATACAGACATTACGTGATCTTTGTCCTTTACGTAGCATAGCAAAGCAGATAAGAGCAAGTTTGATATTTACACAGGTCTACAACCGGTGCATAGATACTGCCACACAACATATATGCAAAGGTGGGTGGTGGCCAAATATACTAATGATTCACCTTAGCAAGGTTTAATTGTGATTCAAAAATCAAAATACGGGCAACCAATGGTGATTTTTCAAGACTAATTCAAAAATTCGTAAATTCAATTTTGACATTTCTAGTGATCTACATAATGTGTATATATGCACTTTATTGTACTATAAGAGAAATTACCTTAATAAACAATAGATTACATATTCCACAGGATAGATCTCCATTTTGAGTAACATAAGGAAGTCAGGAAATTATTAATATTTCTTGTTCTGAACTGATATTGTAGAATCAAATACAATTAGCTGAGGCCGAAATTTAAAAAAATCTATGTTTGCCCTCACCCGACCCCGGCTGAAAAGTTTGGGTACGTAGGTAGGCTTTTTTTCTTTTTTTTGAGGAGGGTCTTTTTTACAAATTCAGCATGGTGTCTACACGCTCAGGTGTGCTTGTGTGGAGATACCTTTTATGTTAAATGTTTGTTTTGCTTGGTACATATAATGTATTGCCTGCAGATTTATATAATGTACAGTGATACAATTTGAAAAAAAAAAGAACGGGAAAGATCAATAGAATTTTTCGAATCGGCCCCTTTTTGGCGGGTCGGTGGGGTGAAAGTAGTTTACTTTATGCAACATACTAGAGCTTATTACATAATATGTACCTGTGTCTGCTGTACCTGTTTAACCGGAGTTTATTACAGCACCACCAAGCAGCCAAAATATCACTCGGGTCCTCATTGCAGTCTGCTGGACTTATATACGCACACCACTCTTTATATACTATGCATTACTACTCTTATATTAATACTCATTCGACTGTTACAAAATTCTGTCAAAAACCATATATAGATAAAATATGGCTTTCCTATATTTTAATATTGGGTGCTACCCCATGAAATTCCTGGGGAGAACCCTGTACATTAGAAACATATATATATATATATATATATATATATA